GTTTGAGTAAAAGCAGTTTCAGTTTTCCTGTGTTCTATAGTATCTCTTTATGTCTTTTTTTCTTCCACTTTTTTTTAACCTAGTCTAATTCTAGTACCTAGTTCCTTCCCTTGTGAATAAGTAATTTGTATGCCTTGTTTTTAATGTATTTTTCCATGAGTAAGTTAATGGAATGTTTGTATGGAAGCTCAGCTGTTTCAGATCCAGCAACATGTCTTAAATAGTAATCAAATAAGAAAAGTTTACAATTGTACAATTTGTCTCAGATAACATGCTGTACACAATATACTGTATACCAAAAAGCTTTTTATTGACATGAATGAAACCTGGAATTATATAAAATATATATTTTATTTTTTAGTTGATAACTGCACCTCACAAACCAAAAGGAGATATAGAAATATAAGGGCTTTTTCACACTAGGAGGCCAGAGGGTTTTTTCTACCTCCAGGCTGCTCCTCAGAAATCTAACATTAAATCCTGACAGGGCTGTACACATGCCATGGCTGCAGAGTTTTGTTTCAAGGCCATGGCAATTTTAACTTCAGCTGCAGAGTTTGACAGGCAGCACCACCTTTCAAACTCGCCCATCAAAATCAATGGGGCCGCAGCAAAACTGCGAGCTAAAGGCTTGGCTTGCAATTGCGGCATGGTCCCACAATGTAAAATTGCCAAAATAAAAAACAAAAAAAGCCACTGCTATACCTTCCTCTGAAAAGCGATCCACAGTGGATTAATTTTCAGAGTGCAGAAGATATTACTGTCAGTCTGTAAGAGCCCTAAGAGACCTATATGTAGAGAAAAGTCCAGCCAGACGTTTTGGCTGATCAGACCAATCCACCCAAGGAACTCATACACAGTCAAGGTTAAACACTTTTTAAATATGTAAGGTGCCTTAAGTTAAAGGATAAGTACACTTTAAAAACAAAGAGCACTTAACCACTCTACAGATGCATACTTCAGTTTGACATTGGCAGTCACCAATGTTTGTTTACATCCTGAACCAAGCTTGCGCATTAGATCCCTATAGACTTCAATGGTACCTTTGAAGAGATGCAACTGTAATGATGATAATTAAACAACATCTAGTGTGCATGTGGCCATCCACCTAAAGTTTCTACATTTATTTCAGGGAATGAGGTTTTGTATATTCACTAAAAGTTTATACACCTTTTTTTTAGCTCTGAAGCTAGTAAGTGTAGCAGTGACTTTTGCTTGTGAATCCTTGTTCATCTGACCATAGTTTCCGATCAAAGAAGTTTTATATAGTAGAGAGGAAGAGATTGTATGGTTATTATTGTGAATCACAATATTGCATATCATAATAAATTGCAATACATGTGAATTTAGGGGGCTTTTGGTAGCTAACTACTTATTTGTTTACATTATTTAATTCAAGTGTGTGTATATATATATATATATATATATATATATATACACACTGCTCAAAAGAATTAAAGGAACACTTTTTAATCAGAGTATAGCATTAAGTCAATTAAACTCCTGGGATATATGGTCAGTTACGTAGCAGAGGGGGTTGTTAATCAGTTTTTAGCTGCTTTGGTGTTAATGAAATTAACAACAGGTGCACTAGATGGGGAACAATGAGATGACCCCCGAAACAGGAATGGTTTTAAAGGTGGAGGCCACTGACATTTTTTTCCCTACTCATCTTTTCTGACTGTTTTTTACCAGTTTTGCATTTGGTTAGGGTCAGTGTCGCTGCTGGTAGCATAAAGTGATTCCTGGACCCTACAGAGGTTGCACAGGCAGTCTAACTCCTCCAGGATGGCACATCAATATGTGCCATTGCCAGAAGGTTTGTTGTGTCTCCCAGCACAGTCTCAAGAGCATGGAGAAGATTCCAGGAGACAGGCAGTTACTCTAGGAGAGCTGGACAGGGCCGTAGAAGGTCCTTAACTCATCGGCAGGACCAGATGAGCACTGTCGGAGCCCTACAAAATGACCTCCAGCAGGCTACTGGTGTGAATTTCTCTGACCAAACAATTAGAAACAGACTTTATGAGGGTGGCTTGAGGGTCCGACATCCTCTACTGGGCCTGTTCTCACTGCCTGGCACTATAGAGCTCAATTGGCATTTGTCATTGAACACCAGAATTGGCAGGTCCGACACTGGCGCCCTGTGTTTTTCACAGATGAGAGCAGGTTCACCCTGAGCACATGTGACAGATGTGGACGGATCTGGAGAAACCGTGGAGAATGTTATGCTGCCTGTAACATCATTCAGCATGACCGTTTTGGTGGTGGGTCAGTGATGGTCTGGGGAGGCATATCCATGGAGGGACGCACAGACTTCTACAGGCTAGACAATGGCACCCTGATTGCCATTAAGTATCGGGATTAAATCCTTGGACCCATTGCCAGACTGGTGCAGTGGGTCCTGGGTTCCTCTTGGTGCATGACAATGCCCAGCCTCATGTGGCAAGAGTGTGCAGGCAGTTCCTGGAGGATGAAGGAATTGATACCATTGAATGGCCCCCACACTCGCCTGACCTAAATCCAGTAGAACACCTATGGGATGTCATGTTTCGGTCCATCCGATGCCACCAGGTTGCATCTCAGACTGTCCAGGAGCTCAGTGATGCCCTGGTCCAGATCTGGGAGGAAATACCCCAGGTCACTATCTGTCGTCTGATTAGGAGGATGCCACGACATTGCTAGACATGCATACAAGCACGTGGGGGCCATACAAACTACTCAGTACCATTTTGAGTTGCTGCAATGAAATTTTAGCAAAATGGACTAGCCTGCTGCATCATTTTTAGACTTTGATTTTCGGGGTGTCTTTGAAGTCAGTCCTCCGTAGGTTGATAATTTTCATTTCCATCAAACAATGGGGAATCCTTACGTTCCGAACACATTACCCAGTCCTTATCAGTATAGATATCCAACATGATATTTTTCCCCATTGAGATCTGATGTGTTTTCACATCTTGCTGCCGCTGTTGCTCCATGACCGGCCAATGTCCCACGTTTGGTGGGACTGTCCCAAGCTTGGCACATTCTGGACCCAGGTTCACAGATTAATTGTTCAGATCTCTTCCTTCCACATAGATTTTACCCCTCTGCAATACTTGATTCACCACTCTGTCTCCATGGGTCAATCCTATCATAAATCTTTGCTCATGAACATGATCAATGCGGCCCATATGTGTATCCCAGTACTCTGGAAGCAACCCACCACTCCTTCTTTGAAGGACTGGTTTTTAAGACTCAATCGTACTCTTGTCACAGAGGAATTAATTGTCACATCATCTGACACTTTGGCAAAATTTCGGAAGATGTGGTCATGCTTGATACACTTCCAGACCACTCCTGCCTACAAAACTGTCATGAATATCTGACTGGGTGATGTGGTGGTTCCGTTCTGGGCTTTTCCCTTTTGCCTGTCTTCCCCACTTTTAATGGTTCTGCTGGGAGGGAGACACGCCCGCTTTTCTATGCTGCTTCTTCCCTTTTTCTCCTTACTACTTTTTCCTCTCATATCTTCCGTTTCCCTTTCATATGATCTAAAACTGCGAATTGGACAATTCACTACACCTACTATACATTTTATCACCCAAATTTAAAATCTGTTTTGATGTTATATACGAAATTGCGAGATACCTCGTAGATGCCTGTTAGCTTCCATTTCCACTGGTTTAGCAAATTTTGGAAAGTCATGATCATATCAGTACGATTACGTATTTTCACTCAGGAAATTATGCGGCTCAACAAGTGTTTACTCTCTTTTTTTAGCTTCAAATGCATCCTGCTGAACTGCTCTTCCTAAGCATTATTTAGATACATATACAGTATGTTCTACTTTTATCGCAAGATATATTGAGCTTATTTCACAATGTGCGTTCGGTAGTTTCCAGCAGCCTGTGTCTGAACGAAGCGGTCCATTCATTCATATATTGCTGTATACTGCAATGTATTGTTAATTGTACTGTATTATAATGTTTCCTCTGGCTTGTATGTCAGGACTTTCCTAATAAAGCCTTCTTTTGTGGAAAAAAAATCATATTGTAGTAAAGTGTTAGCCTCCCTAGAGCATCTTTCTCTGCTGAGATGTTAATTTAAATATAGCCCACACTTTTGCACAAGTGATACTGCTTTGTATTTTTATTTTAACTCCTGAACAAGGAATGCTGATCCATTCTGAAGCACGTTAAAAAATACCTTTAAACGTGGAGTACTACAAAAGAGGTACTTTTAAAAACACTTTTTCCTTTTCATGTATAATAGTGATTCCTCTGTTATTGGATCATTGGATCAGATAAGGTCTATTTGCTACAGAGAATCATCGTGCGTTGCTTCTAAAGAGATTCCAGACCAGCAGAATTTTTTTTCCTTATAAGTTGTAAGGCATTTTATGTGACTAATAGACTTCTATGGGGCTGTTTCTCTTTGTCTCCAGCCTCAGAACACAGCCGTATAGACGTCTGGAACTGTAATGGGCAGGAAAGGTGCACTTTGCTTTCAAGGATACTTATCTTTTAATAAACATATGTGATTCCTGCAGCACTAAGGAGCAGTAGAAGTAGTGACCAACTTTCATTCAAACACCAGGCAGAAAAACCAATACTATTTAAATTAGTAAGCCCTGTTTAGACTAGCAGTTGAGGGGTGTCTAGAAGGCATGGTTGAGTATTTTTAGTACCCCCAATTGCCCCCCCCTTCCTTTGCAGCAAACAGGGGTATTTACATGCTGCAGTTGCAATTCTTTGAGCCCACAGAAAAACTGTTCAGCATATTGAGATCAGTGGGTGGCAAGTCCAGTAAATGCGACTCATTAAAGAGAATGAGGAAGTGCCACAAATGGGCAACAACCATGTGCAATGTACGTTTGTTCAGAAAAAGTGGGGTTGAAACAGGCAGTGGGGAGGCATCACATCGCATCCTCAACGCAGGTCAATCACCTCCAAATGTAGATCATTTTTCAGAGAAGAGGTGGGTTTAACTACTTCACAACTGTGCTATAGCTGAAAGACATGCTCCCAAAACGTGCCCCCAGTGGCGAGCATCTGGCACTGTCAGTGATCACCGAGCAAATACAGTTGCTGGTTATCGGCAGCACTTTCCCCACGCTGTCACAGTGTGAGGAAAGTGCTGCCAATTACCTGCAAATGTCACAGAGGGCATCTGCACTGATCATCAGCAGTGCTGCCCAGCAGTGCCACCCACTAGTGCTCAGCAGTGACACCCATCAGTGCCCAGCAGTGACATCTAGCAGTGCTGCCCAGTAGTTTCGCCCATCAGTGCCCAGCACTGCTACTCATCAGTGCCACCAATCAGTGTCATCAGTCAGTGCCACCAGTCAGTGCTGCCCATCAGTGTTGCCATCAGTGCCGCCTATCAGTGCCCATCATTGCTGCATATCAGTACAGCATTATCAGTGCCTCCTCATCATTGTCCACCAATGCTGCCTAAACACTGCTACCTCATCAGTGCAGCCTATCAGTGCCCAAAAGTGCTGCCTCTCCATGCCACCTCATCAGTGCCCATCAGTGCTGCCTATCAGTACAGCCTCAACAACGCACATCAGTGAAGGAGAAAAATGACCTGTTTTCAAAATTTTATAATAGAAACAAAGAAAAAACTTTTTTCAAATTTTTTGCTCTTTTTTTGTTTATAGTGCAAAAATTAAACACCCAGTGGCAATTAAATACCACTGAAAGAAAGCTCTATTTGTGTGAAAAAATGCTACAAATGTCATATGGGTACAGTGTTGCATGACTGCGCAATAGTCACTCAAAGTGCGACAGCAGAAAATTGGCCTGGGCAGGAAGGGGTTAAACATGCGTCTAAACTTAGCCTAAAAGTAATGTCAAACGTGCAGTGTCACCCAAAAGGGAGAACCACTTCCCCTAATCCAATCGCTCCCTGGCTTGCCTTGAACAGTGCAGATTCTCAAACACTAGTGAGGGAACGGTGAGAGAGCGACAGCTAACTCCATAGGTATAAAACAAGTGGTTGGTTAGCAATCCTGTCTCTGAGTGACTTGTTGCCAGCAAGAGGATTGCTTGAGTGACAGCAACCTATAGTTTAGAAGGAAAGCAGCTGAAATGCCCACAATCAGTTTAGGATGGCAAAGTTCCTTTATTGCAATAGCCTAAGATTCATAGAGATGCAGAACAGCATTTGGCAGCTGGTTTTTGTGTATAATTACACTACATTTTATCTGGTTGTCATTCTGCAGTATAGCTGAGTAGGTCTAATAGACCCCTATAGCTCCTATACTAGTTAAGTGAGGTGTGTGTTCTGAACTCAAATGCCTCAACTAAGGGAGAGAGTTCCTAATAACTTTGATCCCAGATTCCTGCACCTCCTCTAGGTCCATAAACTATGGAAAATCTAGTGTCCCTCAGCAGTGTTGCTGTTTGCTGTTACTTTCAGATATGGGGCCCAGTTTCTTGACATGAAGAGTATATGTATCAGCACAGGAGTGGGCCTATATACTAACAACTCTCTTACTACAGATACTAGCCTTTTGATGCATAGCTAACCGATGTATAACTATGTTTTTTTTATATATAGAAAAGGGGAAATGTCATCCTAATACTTTTTGGTATTTCAATGCATACTGACAGGTTTCCAATCTCTGGTGCTCACTTAACAGGTTTTACATTAGAGCTTATTTACTGGTTTGCAGCTATTTAGTGTAATCTGGCAAACAACAAAGAAAACACAAACAAAGGTTCATGGGCACAGCATCTACAAACGATGAAATTAATTTATTCCTGGGCAAAGAGATATGTTTTATTAAAGTATTACTAAACCCACAACAGTAAAATCAGTATATATATGCAGTAAAGCATGCTTGCTGTACTCTCTGTGGAACCTAAGAGGTCAATTCTCATCATTATGTAAAAAGGCAGTTTGATCCTGTCTTCTCTGATCCTTCCCTTCTTCTACTGTCCCCAATCTGTCTGCTGATAGTACAGAGCTCTAGGAGTCATTCTGGACATGCTCCGTTTAGTGTGTATTGCTAGAGAGGTTTTTTTTATTCTTTGGCAGGGTGCATGTGATCAGCACAGGCCCAGTAAGCACTGTCCAGACAGAGGGTCAGGAGTTATGCAGCCTCATAGGACAGTTTAGAGCAGAATCAGAACTTCTCCTACAAGCTTTAACGAGTGCTCAGACAGACACTGCTCTAACTGCTGATGAGAAAAGGTATTTAGCAGGCAATATTTACTAAACTAATTGTATTTCTATGTTCTGTGTATTGTAGGAGACTAGATATAGTGAATGCTGGTGCTGGGTTTAGTAACACTTTAAGTACCTGAATAATAGATAAATACTAACAGTCAGTGCTCAAGTGGAAAAAAGGATACAGTCTTGCTGCAGGAAAACTTGTCCTTGTTCTGTTTCAAATGCCACTTTATGAACTTACATACTTCCTTTGACCCAGTCTGTCAAGATGGTATGGTCACCTGTTGACTGAGTGCCATCCACAGAAAACTTAAATCAACACAATTTCACTTCAGCTAATTGCACAGATTGTACAGATTATGTTTTTTGTTTGGAAGTGTAAAAACTCAATAACCTTCCTGAGCCCTGTGTCTTCAAAAGTACTAACATTATCTAAGGGAACATGGAAGAAACAGAAAGAGTCTAGCTAGGACTGAACTAATTAGAACTAAACAGTAAGGGAGGACAGAAGGAGACACCAAATTACATTAGTAAACAAATTGTAGTGTCCCAAAACTGCCACTAGATATCATCATACTACAGAGAACTAATAAGCTTATGCAGTTCAAGCAAACACAGAAAAATTATATAAAAGGTAAACGTTCCTGAAGTGAGATGTTTAGCCTTAGGGTTGATTTACAACAATAATATATTTATGTTATTATTATTTAGAAAACGACATAAATCTTAGAATAGCTAATTTTCCCAATGACTGCTTAAAGTGGAACTTTATTCAGAAAAGTAAGTTAACATAATTAGATCACTTCAGACTGGCCTCTTTTGCAGGTATAGCTATGTAAAACATTAAACATAAGTGTCTATACTCTTTAAAATCTAGTGAAACACTGTCTCACCCTACTCTGCACATGCTCAGTTTTTCCTTATTTTCTGGCACTGTACCGAAAAAAATGTAGAGACCAATCTGCTAAAATATTTACTGCTGCTAAAGGCTCTGGACTACAGAAAAATGGCAGCCTCCAACAAGAAGAAGCAGAAGTAATGTTGGAGGCAATTTACCGCACACACACTAATTTTGGCAGCATAATTATTGTGGAATGTATGTTTCTGCTAAAGAACATTATTATGACAAAGCGGGATCAGCGCATGCTGAAGCGCACAGTGTACAGAACTGTCTGCAGAGCCAATAGCTAAAGACCTCCAAACTTCATGTGGCCTTCAGATCAGCACAACAACAGTGGATAGAGAGCTTCATGTAATGAGTTTTTATGGCCGAGCAGCTGCATCCAAGCCTTACACCACCAAGTGCAATGCAAAGTGTCAGATGTAGTGGTGTAAAGCATGCCTCCACTGGACTCTAGAGCAATGGAGATGTGTTCTCTGGAGTGATGACTCACATTTCTCTATCTGGCAATCCGATGGACGTGTCTGGGTTTGGCGAATACCAGAACTGTACTTGCTTGATTGCATTGTGCCAAGTGTAAAGGTTGGTGGAGGGGGATTATGGAGTGGGGTTGTTTTTCAGCAGTTGGGCTTGGCCCCTTAGTTCCAGTGAAGGGAACTCTGAAAGGCGTTAGCATACCTAGACATTTTGGACAATTTCATGCACCCAACGTTATGAGAACAGTTTTGGGATGGCCTCTTCCTGTTCCAACATGATTGCACACCAGTGCACAAAGCAAGGTCCATAAAGACATGGATGAGCAAGTTTGGGGTGAATAAACTTGACTGGCTTGCACCTCAACCCGACAGAACACCTTTGGGATGAATTCAGAACACCTTTGGGATGAATTCAGAACACCTTTGGGATGAATTCAAGTGAAGACTGAGAGCCAGGCCTTCTCGTCCGACATCAGTGCCTGACCTCACAATTGCTTCTGGAAGAATGGTCAAACATTCCCATAGACTCACTCCTATACTTTGTGGACAGCCTTCCCAGAAGAGTTGAAGTTGTTATAGCTGCAAAGGGCGGGCCAACTCAATATTGAACCCTATGGACTAAGACTGGGATGCCATTAAAGTCCATATGCGTGTAAAGGCATTTGATGGGATTTTAAGGGCAACCTTTAAATACACATAAAAAAAATACTTCTTTAAAAAGACAACATTTTATTTCTACATCCAACATATCATTAAAAAAGTCTGTTAACACATATAAAATGAATATCCAAATACGTCAAAATACATTTCAGAGCAATTCAAGCTACTTAGGTTCTAATGTTGTGGTGTAATGTAACATTGATCCAGTGGTATCCCCCATAACTGATTTCCATATTCTAACCTTTGAATTTTGATTATAGATACATTCAGCCTGGGATGTGTCCCAATACTTTTGGCAATATAGTGTTCACAAACGTGCATTGTGTGGGCATTGCCACCACACATGTGTTACATAGGTGGCAAGTCAGGTAACAAATTAACTACTAGTATCTTTCTACATGGCAGACTAAGGGTATGGTTTTTTTTTTTTGGGGGGGGTAGTAGTAATGATAATAAAAATAGAAATGCACCCCTGTGTTTTTCTGTATATTTTCTCATTTGATTAACAGTAAGAATGTTTTTGTGTTACAGAATTTTAAAGGTGAACTAGAGACAACATTGAAAAAAAAGCTTTGTCATACATACAAGGAGCATTCATTTTTTAGTTTAGTACTTCAATTTTTTAACCATGTATTGCTATTGCTCATCAGTTCACCTTGCGACCATTTATTGGTAAACTACTGATCTTGGAAAATGCTTGCTTCCAATGATGGAATGCCCCCTGTGGGATGAATATTGCCTGTGACATACAGCAAGCCTAAAAAAAAGTTCAACACACAGGTTCCAGGTAGTACAATCCTATGCCTTCTCTTACTGAGCAGGGCCAGATCTAGCTTGTCTGATGTGGGGGTGCAGAAAAAAATGTCAGAGGGGCAGAGAATGGGAGGTCAGCAGGGTAGAGGATAGGGGTCATTGCTGGCAGGGCAGAAGACAGGAGTCACTCACTGGCAGGGCAGAGGACAGGGGTCACTGCTGGCATGGCAGAGGACAGGGGCCTCTGCTGGCAGGACAGAAGACAGGGGTTTTTTCTGGCAGGGCAGAGGACAGGGGTCAATGCTGGCAGGACAGAGCACAGGGGTCACTGCTGGAAGGGCAGAGGACAGGGGTCAATGTTGGCAGGGCAGAGCACAGGGGTCACTGCTGGCAGGGCAGAGGAGAGGGGTCAATGTTGGCAGGGCAGAGGACAGGGGTCACTGCTGGCAGGGCAGAAGACAGGGGTTACTGCTGGCAGGG